TGTCAGGTGCCTGAAGTTTTGCTTTTGGGCAAAAGCATCTTAGTTTTACCAATTCTGAGGTTTTTCTACCTGGCTAATATTAAGTCAGTATTAATGGTGTTCCACTTTGAGTGGCTCAGTGTGACAGCTCTTTTCCAAACATGCCTAGAAGGGACTGCAAGAGAAGAACAGTAGCATGGTACATTAACTTTTCTGCAGTAATTCTGACCGTAAATACTTGCCAAAGACATAGGACAGAGCAATTCAAATCCCACTGATGTGTGGCAGGGCTTTAACCCATTTTCTCCTAATTCCCAGGAGTGTTACGATCATCAAATGTTAGGTCAGTGCAGCTCTATCCCAACAAGCTGTGTGCCTACTCCCGTATCTGCAGAAGCTGGGAAGGTGCCCTTCCTGCTGGCAGCAGCAGCCCTGCTCTGGTGAGGAGGGAAGGTGTCTGGTAAGACATGTGCTTCACAGCAGATAAGGTGTCTTGGGATAGCACTTGGATCACACAGGGCCAGCTTATTTATGGGGGAAGTAACTTCTGATGCTCTTCTGCCTTATTAAGCTGAAGTGAGCAAGGGATTTTAGGCCAGTGAATAGGATAATACCCGGATGTCACATCCTATTAGAGACTTTTTTCCTAGGTTTTGAGTTAGAGAGAATGTGAAAAAGCTACACAACAGCATTTTGTAGCATTTCATCTAAACCCATTTGTAGTTCCAGCTTTTTTTTTTTTTACTTCAACATATTTGGCCCAGGCCGTAACAGTAACAACATAAATGAAATAAGATAACCTGTTTACACAAATGTAAATCATGAGAATACCAGCAATGTGTACTCTGGCAATACTTTCTCTTTTCTCTCCTTAGTCAGCCACAGCAACAGAGTTAGACTTGTTTTGTTGTGGGTTTTCTTTTTCTAAAAAAGATAGGAAGAAAAACCTCCAGCAAGGCCAAGAAATATGTTGCATATTTAAAATCAGGTTGCAAGATATGTTTTAGCCTATGTGATGGGTAAGCAACAGTCAATCACCTGAAAAAAGCTGCATAAGGCTTTCACTATTTCAATTAGGGAAAAAATTCCTACTAGCTTCATTATTAATTTTGAAAGTGCAGTTCTGTCCTTCAGCATTGTCCCCTCGTAATTGCATGCAGGCTTACAAGTATTTTGACTTAATATTCTCATATTTCATTACTAAAGTTACTTTTATAAAACTTGTATTAATAGTATTAAAATGGTAATAGCTTGACATAAGAGCGAGAAAAGGCAGTAACGTATTTCAAGTACTTCTCAGTTTAAACAGATTCCCATCTCTCTCTGAACACTGGTTCAGTGTTTGAGTTTTCCCTGTACATCTTTCATACAGGTCAAATAAAAGTGACTAAAGTGTTTAACAAAAAAAGTTTATTACCAAAATACAATATTAAAGTCAATACGTGACAAACTCCTGTAAAGCAAAATAAATTATTCTAACATTGTACAGTATTTCAGAAGGTAGTTAAAGTAGTACTACAGACTTTGCTTCATAGTTCCAAACAGTTGTCTATCAGGAACGCAATCCTAGAGAGAGCTTAAGGCATGCAGCTTAATGTGCTGGATAATTTTATAAAATGAAAGTCATCCTATTCAATAAGATACAGTATCAGGATTAACTGCAGTCTTTACATGTCAGTTTTCTAAATTTTTTATACTTTGGCTATAAAAGCAGTGCCATAGTGTTACAATACCTTTTCTTAAAAAAATACATGTACTCATGTCCATGAATATCAAATGCAAATGTAAATTTCTATTAAATATATCTTAACAAATGTTACTTTGAGCACCAACTGTACATTTTTAAAAATGATTAAATAAGTGCTTCTGAAAGAGGAAAATACAGTAACTCTGACTGAATCCCACTCTATTTTTCCAGGCCAGGCATAAATCGGAAAGATGAAATATGCACCTATTTATCAGTATAGTCTTGTATGAAGAAAGTTTTCTCTTTAGTAGAAGTCTAGTCATTTAACAGTTTGTATCACAGAATAAAACATAATTTAAACAAACAGCAAGTGAATAGTTGAACATCTGATCGTGCTGTGACAGAAGATCTGAAAATATTTCAAAAGCTTAAAAAAAAGGGGAAGACCGCAGTGTTGGTGACTTTGAAATGTGCTTAAAATCTCTTACATAACATGCAACCAAGCCAACCATACACTTTCTAAAACAGATAACCTGAGGAATAATTTGCTTTCAGAAAAACTAAGCCTATAATTACTTCACATGCAGAAAGTCTGATAAAGTCCATGGGAATTGTGAGTGGGTAACTAATCGCAAGCAGCGTGGAGACAGTTAAAAAAAAAAAATCTCTGCCCATATGGGAAAGAATTATTTGTTGGCATTTGTTAGGATTGATAATGGTTTTTAGAGGCAACTAAGTTTCTACCATTTTATAGAAACACATGGTCAAAAAGAAAAAAGCAACAAGATGGCAAAGAACAGCTGTAAATAGATGCATCCTGCTTAATAATCCCATTACAATGAGTCCTGGTGCATTATACTTAATGCTGCAAGTGTGGCTTGCACATACACCAAAATTGTTAATTTTGATTCAAAGTTACTTGCTTTTCATCTTGGTTCACTGCCGTCTCCTCCTTAGCTTATGAATGCAAGTTTTTCACCTTTTTATCTTTCACTAGCTGAGCAGCTTTAAAATAGTTATCTTCACACAAAAATAACAATGTGGCAAAATATTGTTTCTGTGAATATTGACTGGTAGTTTAGCATTACTGCAGCTTTGTACTTTTATTTTTTTCAACAAATGGGATCTCTGAAGCAGAAAGTTGATATATATTCCAGATAATGTACTATCTTCACATGAATTCCATATTAAAGGTAAAATATTGGTGTCAATAAGACCCATTAAAAGTTTACTATCTCAAATTGCATTTGAGGTCATGTAAATAACTCATGTTTTTCAAAGGTAAAATCCATCTGTAGGAATAAGAAAAATAAGTTTTAACTGAAAATAATGTATACTTACTTCATGTTTGTATTTAAAACATCTCAAATATCTGACAAAAATGCTTCGACATTATATTTTGACCAACTTGAAAAGTAAAATGTGTACTTCCTGCTATCTCATTTATAAACAAAATAATAGATATTTAACCCCAAAGAACAAGTCAATTTGAGGAAATACATTTGAAAACAAAAATCATCAAATTTACTTGGAATCAGTACCTTTACCCTGGCCTTTAGATTTTGTGCTGCTTCATAAAGTTGTAACAAGACTCGTTGTTTTCCTGTTTGCCACTTCTAGTCAGCAATAGCACAATAGACTGCACACTACATACGCCACCTTCTTAGATTTACAGTTGTAGCTTATTTCTGCTAGCAGAAATGTATAAACAAAGTATCCGTGAACTCCTGTTTTGCTACGAGTGAGCCATTTTTTAAGTAGTGAGCTGCTAAAAATCAGGTAACTGCATCCCCACGTCAGGAACTAGGCATGCTTCTCTGCATCTGCCATTCATTAAAAGCAGAAATACATGCCTGAACTAGAAAATTTAAATCTGGCTGTTAAAGGGCTTCTTCGGAAGTGCTACTACTGGACTTGATTGAAGCATATATTTCAAACAATTTAAGTAGCCAACTTTATAAATAACCTCAACAAAGTTGCCAGGTAATTAGCCAGTATAGTAATATTCCAAACTGATACACAGATAATGTCTTCTATGGCAAACTGCTGTTACTGTAAAAAAAGAAAAAAGAACGGTAATTTTAGAAGCTAAAGGCTTTAAAAGGGAGAGATTTCTATCTATGTCTTAGAAAACAAAGTAATCCTCTAACTCCCTTTATGAATCCATATTATATGCACTAGTAAAATTTATTCTACAAGTGACTGGATACAGTATTTGCTTAAAATATTGTTTGCCTTTTTTTTAAAGATGATTTTCTACAAGAAGATTACTCTATCTTTCAGTGAATTATTTCTACAGTTACAGCTCTGCCAGACAAATGGGAGATTTAGAAAGCCAGTGGGATTTCAAAGAACTCCAAAGCATGTAGACATTTCTCAAAATCCCACTTTGTGTTCACCTAGATCTTTAGGAATCTACATAGGTTTAATCTACATCTCCTTGTGGCAACTATTGTTAATATCTTGTTCTCATTAAAAATCATTGCTCATACATACTGCAAAGTAATCACCACAAAGTAAAAGTGACATATGAGAAGCTTTTTTTTTTTTAATAGTTTTGCTGAATGTGTCAAGAAAACCATTAGAAACAGCAGGATCTTTTACACACTATCAATTCAAAAGACAGCAGTTTTTAAGTTAGGATCCAATCAGACAAATAGTTATTGGCAAAACGCTTCTAGGCTCCTCAGCTCCTGCTGCTCTAATTCAATAGAAAGGACAGCAGTCTTTGTTGAAGGACGACTTGGAGTTTGTAAGGCCTTAAAAATAGATTGGGAAAAATGAAATGCCTATGTGTGCATGCAAGCACATGCATGCCCTCACTCACCTCCCCTCTCCCTACCTTCCAGAATCCAGGCAGTGGGGTTTATGAGATCATATGATAAATTTTTTATCTGGTCTGTTAACAGTTTCAAACAAGAGAGTAGAAAAGTTTTTTGCTGAGATACTTGGAAAACAACAAAGAGGGAAGAAGAAAAAAGCTTTTCAATTGATACAAAGCTTTCATACCTTTGGGTTTTAACTTACTGCACTAATGCATTATTACTGACTAGTACCTGACAATAAAAGAAAAAAACCCCAACAATCCTACATTCTTGGCACTATATAGAGAAATAACAGGTTAAAATGGATCATTCTATTCCCCAATCCTTACATTTATCTCCTAAATGATTCATCGGTCCCTGATTAAAATATCGTACTATTGAAACAAGGACTCAGATGGGAAATCGAGTTTCGCTGGCAGTTCTTCTCTTTAGCAAGTTTCTCAGGCAAAAATCAGCAAAGAAAGAAAACATTCACTCCAGGAAACCCTCTCTTTAACTTCCTGCTTCATCTAGTTTGTGCTCTGAGTTGTGCTGTTGTCCTTATTTAGAATTATGTTTATGATTTCACCCTCATGTTCTTTCATATGATCGAGCAGATTTTCTTTGTTGGTAGACTCAAAACCACAAATGCAGCAGCAGAAGAGAAGAACACAGTATTCTGTGCCAAGATGGGGTAGAGTGGAGTTCTTTTCTAAACTGCATGAGGTATTCATCACGTTAGGTTTTTCATTTTCATCAGAAGCTGAAGTTTCATTCGTAGTCTGGTTAATAGATTCTGCAAAAGACACCAAGTTGTCTGAACATCCTAGTACAGGTACTGCACTTTCATCTGTGTCTTCTAATAAGGTTTTGTCAGGAAGCTGTCCTTGAAACCTGAAATAATAAAACGAATACCAAAATGTACAGTTATTTTGGATCAGAGCTGGGTCCTTTGAAAATTCTAGATGATAGGGCTTGAAAGTAAATCAGACGTACCTGCTGCTTTGCGAAATTGCATCATTAATAGCCTTGTTCACTTGTTCATAGTTATAATTTTGGTCACTTGCGTGTTTCCACATGTGGGACTTCAGGGATGGAGGATGGCTACATACATATCCACAGAGAGAACATCTAGGGAAAAAAAGTGGAGTAGGAAAAAGAGAAACATTTAGAAGTTAAATTTTATTAGTTCAGTAGTGGATTAACTCTTCCAAAACGAGGAGTAAACAGATACATGTCCATCCTCTTCTTGGTTCCCCTTTTCAGTCTCATAACTATGTCAAGTTAGTTTGCAAAGTTTCATCCTGAAATGTAAGACTGTTCTTAGGGTCTGAGAATTTTTAAGTTTGCTTTTTCTGACTTCTTAAGCAACTGAATTAAAATCTTATTTGGCTACTGCAAAAACACAATAGCCCTGATGCCTGCAGAAACTTGGAGTACATTGGTGTGGTACCTGGCAGGCAGGTAGCAAGCTCTCTTTGCTGTTGCTCTGAACCAAGCAGGAGCTGTGTAATTAGCACTGATAATTTCAATTGAACTAATAAAGTCTTTCCTGGTGTAGCATATATTAGTTTATTTAAGGATCACAGAATTGTTGAAGTTGGAAGGGACCTCTTGAGATCACCTAGTTCAATCGTCCTGCTTAAGCAGGACCAGCTACAGCAGGTTGCCGAGGACAGTGTCCAGTCAGATTTTGAATATGTTCACAGATGGAGATTCAGACAGGTGACAATTTTGTCCATAGAGTTTTCCATCAGCTCGGGTACCATATGACTAAATTTTCTATTTTCCTACAAAACACTGTCCTACACAGTAAAGAACAAAACATTAAAGAATAAATCCTATTTACATAGAGATGTAGTGTATATTTATGGACACAAATAACCCAAGACATCAAATCCCATAGGACTTTTTTCATACAGGGACACGCAACGGAGGAGTTTTTTTACAAGTGTTTTCTAAGATGATAAATCAGTCACCTCAGCATGAAGGAGATGAGTGCTACTGCATGACATCACTCCAGAGCAGAACAGTACTTATGGTAAAGACGACGTAGCTCCTTCTCTTTTGGACGAGGAAGCTACTTTGCTTGGCTACCTGCTACTTTGGAAGTTTTCAGTTTCCCAAATCACATAGAAATGACCAGAATCAAATTCTTCTAGAAATCAAAGATGACCTTGTTCTAATAAACCATAGCTAGGAATGCATCTCAGTCTATCGCGTTCCTCAATGAGAGTAAGATGTTTTTTGCTCAAGCAATGTGGTCTTGATATGTTACGCTATACGTCTGTTAAAATGACTGCTATACTAGTAAGTTTTTGTAAATTCTTAAGACCTTTTCAGAAATATAACCTGGAAACACAAGAAGGCCTACATAAGAGTGCTACACACAATTCAGTAAGGTTTTACCGCTTTTCTTAATGAGGGTAGGATATAGTCCTTAAATGCCTTGCAAATAATCGTATACAGGAAATTATTTCTGCTCAGCAGAAGATTGTGGAGATCAGCAAAAATCCTGATCACAATTTAGGTGGATGCATGGTACACTGCCGTGCTTATGTAGCCAGATAATTCTGTCCTGCTGGGTAACAACAGACATGTCCTTCTAGCTCACTTTTCTCTATTGCTTGGTTTGAAATGTACTATCCTATTTTTCTTTTTTCCTTCTAATGTGAAGCCTTGTAAAGAGAACAGATGCTTTCAAATACAGACAAGCTCACTCAGGTTGAGAATCTTAATATTTCTAATAAGGCTGTTGCAAAATAATGGCATCATTAAGAATAAAAGGCAGACTTTATAGTTAATTTACAGATAAAATTAGGCCATTTTTTTTTTTTTTGCAAAGCACAGATAAACAAATAATCTTAATTCCATTTTACATGCAAATGTATTCCACTAGTCTTATTATATATATGATTTTTCTCCGCCACTAAGACAGCTTGGCCAGTGGGTTGGTAACACAGTGAATGAAGCAACAGTTCAGTGTTTGTTTTTATCTCCTTTTAATTAGTCTCATTTTTTGAAGTACGTTTTGAAGTACTGAGGTGATTTACTATCAGATTTACTTTGCTGAGAACAGTATCATGAACCAAATGCTGTTGACTGCTTTAGCATATAGTTCAAATCAAAGACACAGGAACTCAACAATTTTTAGCCTGATGCACTGCACTTTATGATCATATAGTTAATGTATAGTCATAGTATATCCCAGATGTTCCCAGAGAAACAAAATTATTTTACCATTGAATTTGTTAGTAGAACTCTTGCAATTCTATAGCATGATTAGCCCTACTGGTTGACCTATGTTGAATTATTAAACTTTTCTGTTCAAATGTATCCTAAATTGACCTACTGAGGAAACAATTATCTTGCACCTCTTGTTAGAGTACTTCCTTGGGGACACAGAGACCAAAGTGTGGAGGTTTTCAGTAATCTTTGGTAAGACTAAGAGTACTCAGCAGCACTGTATGAAGTATGACAGCAAAACAAATAGAACTTAGTGCTACTAGGAACATTTTGGGGAAAAAATGCAGTGGAAGGACTTTGGAGTTGTAGCAGCAGATTTTTTTTTTGAGAAGAAATCCTTATGTAAATGTGCTTTATTTGGATTCTTCATGTTGCCTTTAAAATCTTCCACTAAGAAATGTTCAGAATATTCCTGATTTTCTTTGCTTTCCCAGCTTTTATTTTTTGTTGCAAATTAGTAGCAAAGAATTGCACATATTTGTGCCAACTTTCTCTCTTATATATATATAAAACATACAAATCTATGGACAGACTATAAAGGACACGCCTCACTTAAACATAATGACTATTCATACGACTTCTTAACTAGGGCAGCAGTGCGATGCCAATCTGGATTCTAACTAACATGTATATGCAAGCCTGTGCCTAGACTAGGATATTAAACAAAGCCAGGGAACATTCCTGGTTACTGGAATTTAACAATCTATAACGTTAGATGTTAGAAGTGCCCCTGGCATGGTTTTGGCACATGTATTCTCCCAAACAATTCCAGGCATGCTTTGGTAGTTAACACGGTCCAAAAACTACTTGCAACAGGCAGTTTATATGTAACCACCCCATTCTGGAAAGAAAAAGCTGAATACTGTACCAGAGGGACGTCATGGACACGTGTAATGAGCTAGCATAAACATCACCCAGGAATGAAAAAACTTTCTCCCTCTCTCTCTCTCTCTCTCTCAAAAAAACCCACAGTTACTGGAACAAAGAATGACTCTAGGAGGGAGAAGAATAGAATCTGAACGCTGCTTTATATCTCAACATGACAAAATCACTACTATCACAGCTTTTTGCCAAATTAGAACTGTTACATACTTGTACTGCTCCATTAGCTGCACTGCCTGATGCTCCTGGGGATGGCGCCTCATATGGCATTTCAAGCTATTCATATTTGTGGTGGCGAAGTCGCATACTCGACATCTAAAGAGACAACAACAGGTAAACTAATCTGACAATTAACTGCTAACGCTATTCCAGAAATAAAAATCTATGAAAAAGCGACGGTATCTGGAAAGACTACAGTTAAAGACTAACAATATTAAAAGAAGCCTAAGCCATGACATTAACTTCCAATTTTTGGACCATGAGAATCTTTTGCAGCCCCAAAAAGCCTCACCTTTGAGCAAGAATCACTAGGCATACGGACTATTTCCTTTCTGACACCTATCTTGTGCACCTCTACTGAAGTTGGTAAGCATCAGTAAGCATAAGGGAGATGTGGATGCATGTGAATGGTGCAGCCCTGATGCAAGTTGCTTGGCTATGCTATGCAAAGGCAGAATATGACCATAAGAGCTATAGGGGAGACAATGTATTCAGGAGTGAGTCTTGTTCCTCAAGAATACATGTTCTACTTAATGCAATAGCCATGTTTCTCATGACATTTTAAAAGCTAAACTATCTATTTAATAATAAAATGGCCTAAGTTTCAGAGCATCGTACCTGCAATAGAAGTCAGGGATAAGATCAACATGTTTAGATTCAAGTGCCCTAAGACAAGTGTGTCACATCATGCTGTCTAAATTTTTAGTTTTTTACTTCTGTCACGATATCTTTGTATAAGAACAATACATAAACCAGTATGGATCTAGATATAAATCAATGGATTTAGGTCCCAAAGTATTACACAAAATACTATGATATTCCTAAATATAAACTTCCTGTATAAAACGTATTGAAACAGAAGCCATCAAGCTCAGCTAAAACTCTGCCTACTTGTTAGGACTTTAGTTGTTTGTTTTTTGAAATAGTAAAATGTCCAATATTTACTAAGTCTAGTCTATAGCGTGAAACAGTTTGATACTCCAGGATACTAAACTTGAGATTACTCACTCTATTTTCAAAAGGACTTAATTGTGCAGTATTAAAATCCAGAAGGTATCAAATCTACAAAAATGCATAATTGGAGGCTATACAGTTTAATTTCCAGCAATTTTTGTTAAATAATAAAATATGTTTAGGGTTATAAAAATGACAGCAATATAGTAGGTTACTATCTGATACTATGAAAGGCTTGAGGAATACATGTTTCAGAAGGAGAAATACCATAAATACTGGATCTTTATGTTTTTTAGGCTGTGGCTTAAGTATCCTACCAGGTCTGCAGATTTATCTAAGGGGTTTATGAAAAAATAATAAGTAAGCCAGATCAGTAGGCATAGATTTAGTATACAGGCGTCTATATCACCAATGGAAAATTTTCAAGGGTCCCTAAATCGAACAGGCTGGCCAATTCAGAAAACTACCACATACAAGATGCTCTACAGTATCTGCTGTTCCATCCCCACTAAGTAACAAATAATGGTAACAAGGAAGATTTTTGAGGGGGGAAAAAAAAAAAATCTATTTGTATTTTACATTTGCTGTCTAGCAAATCTTTGCTAGTGTTATGGGATATCATCATAATGCACGAATCAAAATACATCACATCATCTGGGTTTGTTTATCCGAAAGAGAAAGTCTCTGGCAGAGCTCAGCATTTCAAGGTGTTGAGCTTCCAGAATTTGTATTAAAAAAATAGAAGTATATTAGCTCAAAAATTCTATTAACTCAGATCTATTTTCTAGCCACTAGAGAGGGACAGAGATCCACACTGAATGAGCAGAGATTGAATTTGCAGGAATTTATGCAGCAACCAATAGAAAAATGCATGATTTATTTTTCTGCTGGGGACCTGAGCTATAGTATTACATTTGATTTTAGATATCAAAACTTCTATATAAATCCATATAACATCCTTGTAGAAAAGTTATAAAATCAGATCCTAAGTGAGTGTGTTAGTATTTGAAACCTGTGAAAGAGATGAGGGGACTGGTGACAAGACAAAGGGCAGAATTTTGCCACACTCTGTAGAAGCCAATGCGCAAAGTAGCAATATGGCAACAGAGACCACTGTGCAATAAGGCAAATCCAAAATGAACTTAAGTGTGCAAGGAGTTTGAGAAATGTATTACTGTTGGCCAAAGTTTAATATTACAAGGTAATTATTCTGAATGCTTCAAACTGAAAACAAGCAGTAGACTGCTATAGCAAAAGATGCATCCTGGAAAAGTTAGCAAATCTTAATTATGAAGTTTGAGTCAACCAGCAAGTGTGGCTCCTTCAAATCTGCACCAAAATTATGTAACTGAAATTCTTCAACAATACCTGCAAAATCGCATGAGCAATCAAATAACCTTTTTAGTTAAAACAAGTAAACCTAGCGTTAGCCAGCAATAACTGAGACACTTACCTGTATGGCTTATCGGAGTTATGAATTCGCCTGTGATTCCGTACACCAACGTAAGTCGTGCTTGTGTATTCACAAACATCACATCTATACAGTTTCTGAACTGAAGACTTACTTCCTATATAAAACAAGATCCGTAATTTTAGAGAGTTGCCTTCAGCATTGTAAGAAGTTCTCAGATGATATTTCAGCACAATTGAATTATGAAACATGAATTAACATTTTAAAGTAATACTTTTAAGTATCTTCAAATATTTAATACTTCTAAAGTATCCAGAGCAAACTAGCAATAATAAAGGTAAAGTTTATTTACCATGCTGTTCTGCATTTGCCCTACCATTTACTGAAATTATTAAAATTTTAGGAAAACACATTCTTTCCCTCTGTGCAGACACCTCCCTTCTTCCTGCAGTTGGGTTAAAATCCTGTGCTACAGCAAAAGGCGATAAAATGTAGGAACTGCT